TGAGAGCTCGGTACACACAGTACTCGCAGACCCGTCTCATTCATAATTTACAGGGCACGCCGAGAGGGATAGAAAGGGCGCAAGCGTGAGAGAGAGGGACTGAGTGAGAGAATGAGAGAATAAGAGAGAGAGAGAGAGGGCAATATAGTATTTCTGCTCGTTCCATATCTATCGCTCTGCTTCCTGCATTATCTTAATCGTTTTCGCGTCTCATATTTTTCCTCCATCTTGCGCTCTACGTGCTACTCGTTATTATTGCGATTTCCGCTGATTTCGTCCCGATTTCGCGAGAATTCTCGATGATATGCGGTATACGATATTATGCGGGGATTATTGATCTGGTCGTTTACTTTTTTATTCACGACTCTTGTTTGTCCACCGTTGCGTTGTCTTCTCTCTCTCTCTCTCTCTCTCTCTCCCTCTCTTCCCCTCTCTTCCCCTCTCTCCCTCTCGTTCTCTTTGGCGTCTTTAACAAGCTTCCGGCGAGTCTGTATTTCGCGCTTTTCGCATCGCGCGGATATTATGCAGTTACCGTTGTTATCGCGTTATTTGGTATATTTTTCGATTTATTTTTATCCTTTGTGCGCACGACTTTTGCAATAAATGTACCTCGATATTGGTTCGTGACTTTTTGCGCCCTGCGCACTTTGTGCGACGCGATCTCTCGCGTGTCGCAGCGTGTGTCCTCCTCCGTCGAGCTCTGGATAGTTTCGTCGGTTTTTGTCTTCCGCATGGGAAACTTTCCTCAAATTAGAGCGGGCGCTCTACGATGCTTGCGTTGCTTGTGAGTGCAAGCGAGTTTTCGCGGAACACTTTCGAGCAAGTTCTTTTTACTCATCCTCGGCGATTTGAGGGAAACTTTTGAAAGAATCTCATAATGCGCATCCTTGCAAACGGTTGCGCGACTCTCTCTTTTTCTCTCTCTTTCTCTGGTTCTGACTCTTTCTTGCAGCCGTCGCTGTTACTCACATTGACTCCGAACAAACATTTTCACCAGGTGCATTAGCGGCCCAAAGTTCTCGATTTACGTACGCTCGATTTCATCGTCCCTCGATACTTTTCTTCCGTCGCTTTTCTCCCCTCGTCGTCCGCGTCGTCACGAACCTTCGTGACGCGACCCGATAAAGGAAGAGTTCTTCATCACGACGTCATTACGGAAGTTTTTGTCGACACTGGATCCCTGTCGGTCACCTGTTCGGGTCGCGGAAAATCGAGATCGTAGATCACCGTGACCGGTGTGCTGGCCGAGTATCATTAGCGACAGTGCGGGCATCGAAATTCGCTTTGACGGAAATTGGGTAACGTGACCGCTATCGTGCGATTAAATGCCAGGACGAGCAGCACAGCGGCTTCGCGTGCTGTGCTAAATGTCGCGGGGAATACGCCGCGCTCGATACACGATCGCACGTGGGAGCAATAGCGGAGATAATGATGTTTCTCAAAGCATCGCCGCGCGCGACGAGACACGCCCGCAGCAATTTCGCCGATTCCCGTCGCGAGATCCGTCCTCCCACACATTATTTCTCCCCGAGAGTATCCTGTATCTTATCATCACTTTACTGCGCGTATAACATGCAATATCGATGCGCTTGTTACGCAGCTAATTTCATTTATTCCCTGCGTCGGACGGAAGCGCGGCCTTCAACCCTTCGTTAGGCGCGTGGTCTGCTGCTTTAAAGCATGATCAGTGTATTCCTCACTGAAACGCTGTACTTGTGACTGATGGTTCTCTTGCAAGTACACATGGCGAGAATTTTACAATCATGATAAAAAGTTACAGATTTTGTAATCGAGGAATGGATCGACATTCTGCACTAATTTGTCACCCCTTCCCATTTTATATGTGTAACTTCTTACATTTAGGAGACTAAAATGCTAAAGCACTGTTTTGTTTCTAATGAAATTCATGTTCCTTATTATTCATTTAAGATCATATTTTAAATACTTAAAAGAGAGGTGGTCTGCGCGCTCGCGCAGACGCGCGCGTAAGCCACCCCTTTTTAGGTACTTAAAACATTACGCAAAGTGAATAATATAAAGCAATATCTTTGAGCTTCACTATACGATAATTAATCGACAGTATATATCAAGATTTCCGCAAATGCACGGAGAAAAATAATTTGCTGCCCCAGCAAATTTTCTGCTGGTCTAGCAAAATCTTTTCGTTATTGTATGGACAGCAGAAATATTTGCTAAGAGTACTAATCATTATTTGCTGAATCTACAAATTATTTTGCTATAAGAACCATGATGAATTTATATAAGCAGTTGCAGTTTTGTTTCGATAGCAAATAAATTTGCTAAGGATACATTGTTTTGCAATAACAAATTGACGTGATTCTTAGGACATATACACTCAACAAATTTTTTCTAGCCTGGTACTAAACTACTTCTGCTCTGATAATGAATAATTTGTAAAATTAGTTACGTCATCTAAATTTTTTCATGTTGCTACGAATATGCAGTAACAACGACGATTTTGTTAAAAGAGCAAAATTATTTTTCTCCGCGTGAAGAGAAACATGAAGTTTGTGCAAGCATTTCTTAGATCGTTGAACGGCCTACATCGAAGAAATATCTATCTCTTGGCGGAATATACGTCTTTCGTGGTAGAATCAGCCGCCTAAATTGAGGTGAAAAACGCGCGCGCCTCCTGAAGGGTGAAAGAGCGCTTTGAGCGATTTTTACACCAAGTCTCGAGCTTAAAAAAAAGCGATTGTTCCGCCAGCTCGCTCGAGATCACCACCTCGACCTCGTCCAAGACGCTCGTATTTTTATCTCGATATTACCGGATTAGAAAATAGAACACGCAGCTATTTCCGTTGTAAGACACGTAGCGCAGCGTGTATTCCTCGGAGAATCCGCGAATTTCGACTTTGGAGAGTCGGCGGTAGACGGAATTTCCGCTTGCACTCCTAAAATTAGATTGGACGGCAGCCTTTTATTTTCCAGCGAGACGTCGCCTCCTATTCAAACAGCCATCATGCTTCTTATTTCGTCCTCCGGTGTCTACAAGCCGGCAGTTTCCGCCGTTTCTGGGACGCTTCGCGTGGCAGAAACGGCGACGGCGGCGGCGGCGGCCCCGAACGGGTTTAATTGCGCGGAACTTACGGGACGGCAGTTTCTTCGTCTCTCCAGCTGCCTCTCGCGCAGGAGAAATTTAATTGGTCAGATATCGGGGGTTTGCGGCTTGTCAAAACTCCCTTATCGTCCTGTCCCCGTGATTCCGCCTTTCGTTCGTATTGTCGTGTTCGGATTCCCCGACAGATTGTGCGAACGCTCGTACGACGGCTTGTTCCATTTCAGCCAAGTGATATCGATATTCCCGCTGTCTTGACGACCGCCGCGACGACGGAGGTCCTCTTCGGCACAGGACCCTCGCGTAACGCGTCCCAGCAATCTGTACTATTTTCCGTTACGTCCATTTCCAACGGATTACACGGATTATACGTCCGCGCGAGTTCTTGCAACTTTTATTTTGTGTCTCTCGCCCTTTGTACTTTCTTTTCTCTCTCCCTTCTCGAGTAGCTTTAATATTTCACTTTTTTTTCTTTCTTTTTCTGGGCGCGATGATAACTGCGAAGTCGACCAAGCCGCAGGTTCTCCCGCATCGTTCCGAATCTTCCTCAAGCAGCAGGCGCTTATTTATTTCGCGTTCCACTGAATTCCCCGCAATATTGCCACTTTCGTAATGGAAGTCGCGGAGAGCCGAAGAAGAGAGACCTCGTGGTGTGCGCGACTAGGTTTGTCAGATTACGGTCGCTTACATGACACGCCAGAAGAACATTCGCGACGATTTCGCGAAAAAAAGAACATGGGAGAGAATGCCGGTGGTAGTCCCGTGTGACACGCGTTACATCATCTTACTCGACTGTAAAATGCAAAATCTCACGCCACAATGTCACAAGTACGATATAATCCGTTCTATGCATAATCGCGCGGGATAAAACTCCGAGTATCGACGGTAGTTTTGCCGTGGTGGTCGGGATTTTTGTTTAATAACCGCCGCGTAAATCGGGATTGGAAGTTTAACGGCGCGAATGCCGTTAAAGAGTCTTGAAACGAGCGCGAACTAATTACACGCGGTTGCGCCGGGATAATAACGGGGGATCACGAGTGTCGAAGTTGTGTAATCGAGTCTCTCTCTCTCTCTCTCTCTCTCTCTCTCTCTCTCTCTCTCTCTCTCTCTCTCTCTCTCT